GAGACCTTCTAGTGCCTTCCAGAAACCAGCCTCGGTGGGTGAGCACCCGGGAGCACGGCTGAGGATGAATCAGCCCCATCCGAGAGTCCTGATGCTCTCACAGAGTCAAGCACCAGAGCAGCAGGTGCTAGCGCAGAGGTGGCCCAATGGCCTAGTGGGCTACAGGTGGCACGGTGGGGGTGTACAGAGGGGCAAGCCTGGGACCAGATGACATCAGGGTAAGAGTCACCCATATCTAGATCCCCAAGTGGAGCCTGGGCAAGGGAGGAGGACAACACAATACTGATCCTCTTTGGGCCCTTGTGTTTTGCTAAGGAGCTTGCATTTTTACCCCGAAGATGCTGGGGATGTCTGGGTATTTCCTGATGGAAACATGATCAGAATCTATTCAGAAAGATGCCTCTGGGGCTGGGGAGTCCGTTCATTCAGGAAAGCACTTGTAAGACCTGAATTCAATCTTCAGAACCCATGACAAAGAAAAAGCACCTGTTAACGGCTCATGTTCATAATCCCCATTCCAGGTAGACAGAGGCAGGCAGATCCTTGGGGCTTACTGGTCAACCAAGCTAGCCTACTTGGAGAGTTCCAAGGCAGTGAGAAACCCTCTTTCAAGAAATGGATAGCATCTGAGGGATGGAACTGAAGCTTTTTCACTGTTAGGAACAAATATCTATAAGTAACAACACACACAAACTTTACACACATACATACACACACACATATACACACACACACACACACACACACACACACCTCTGACCACGAGGATGTGGGGTTAGTTTAGAGACAGGGAGCCAGAGGAAAGGCTTCAGTGATCTACTGGGGACCAGTTGGGCCTGGCAGAGAGTGACTCAGGACAGAAATTGCTTGGAGGGACACAAACTCACCCAGCAGGTGACAGTGTGAAGGAAGAGGGACAGGCAGAACTTCCATCCTCACCTAAGACCTGTTATATGTCCCTGGGTACGTGACCTGCATCATCTTGCCTAATCTCCACTGTTCCCTGATATGGGAACTGTGCTTGTCCACATTTTAAAAGAAAAACAAAACCTGAGACACAAAAGGAATCAGAGTGCAGAGCTTGGAAATGTTGTTTGAGGGTACCTAACCCCAGAATCCCTTGTTAACCCCAGTCTGCCACACCCAGCTTCAAGTGTGAACTAGAAGATTTGAGAGGGTGGCATAGGTAAATACAGGCAAGGAGGATGTCAGAAAAACATTAGACATACCCAGAGAACATTCGGGGCATCGTTACCCTGTAAACTTTTCTGTAATATGTTCTAGAACGTTCCCTCTTTTTTACTGTCTAAGGTAATACCCAAATGCAGTTACTGTTGCCATGGATGTTTGAACTATGACCACTGGGAATTTTCACTTTTATTTTCTTCTCACTATCTTAACCTTGAGCTACTCCATGAGGGGGCCGAAGGCTAGGATGGTCAAGGCAGATCAGGCACGAGGCCAACATGAATCGTGCTTGAAGCACAGTCAGCTCTATCTGGGCTAGAGTCACATGACCGGTGATTTCTACTTAACAGGTCTAAACCTACGTGACTAGCTCTTCTCACCATTTCTTGGGGTAGCAAAGCCTTACAAAAGTGAAGGAAAGACCCACCTTTGTGTGCAGAAAACCAGGGCACTGGACTGGGCAGATGACTCAGCGGATAAGGTTCTTGCCTTGCAAGCACAAGAATCGGAGTTGGAGCCCTGAAACTCACGTAAAAATCTTGCTGGCTCACGCTTGTATGCACAGCACTGGGGAGAAACCAAGATGAGAAGAGCCGTGGGGCCAGCCGGTCCAGCCAAGCCAGAAGCTCTAGGTTTGGTGGAAAACCCTGTCTCCAAAAATCAGGGTGGAGAGCTCCCCTGTGACAGCCTCTGCTCACACCACCACATGGACACGCACACGCGCACATGCATATACACACCCAAAGGAAAATGGAGCACAGCCCTTGGTTATGGAGCCTGGGTACTTAGCAACCCCCATCCCCCTCCCAAGTTCCCCACAGAGTGGGATGAGCATGCCAGCCTCAGAGTCTGGGACCACAGGTCATAGATGAATTCACGGCCTGTGAGAGATCTCCTTGGGGTGCATTAGAGTTGGAGGAAAGGGAATCAATGGTTCCTAAAGGTGGGTAGATATTTGGGGGCAATGAGAGGATAAAGGGACTCTCGAGAAATTCAAAGGAAAGATCTAGAAAACTAGGAGGAAATTATCTCATTTATTTTTCCCAACCACCACTTCCTTCACATATTCATTTCAAACCAAAGGAGAAAAAATTCCCTGGTCATCAGGAAGCCCATCAATACTGAGAGCCACCATGTATGACAGTGACTACCCAAGGCAGTGACCCATCAGGCCCAGACAAGGGCAGAAAGGTGAAGGCATCCCTGAGACTCTGGTCCAGGAGAGTCTCAGGGGATGAGAGCAGCTGCTGCTCTGCACACAAGAGAACTCCCCTGGAGTGGACTTGCCCTTTGAGTGACTTCAGTGGGCTCCAAGTGGAGAAAGGTCCTCATGTTGGTTCTGCAAGCTTGGGGGAGTAGCCTTGGAAATGCAAAGGTTCCGCATGAGAACCTGAATTCAATCCCCAAATCCATGTATAAAAAGCTAGATGTGGTGGTGCATGCTCATAACCCCTATACGAGGCTCCCTGGCCAAGCAGCCTAGAGCCAAACTGACACACTCCAAACTGACACACTCCAAACTGACACACTCCAAACTGACACACTCCAAACTGACACACTCCAAGCCAGGAGAGAGATCCTGACTTGAGAAAAGAAAAGCAGCAAAGAGGATATAGCACCTGAGAGGACACTTGAGGTTGACCTTTGACTCTCACGCAAAACGTGTACTCCTGTACATGCATGGGCACGTGCACATTCATGCATACACACTCAGGCGCATGCGTGCACACACACAAACGCACATATACAAAGAAAGATACGCCTAAATGGTTCCCACAAGTTCCTATGGAATCCTAAAAGAGCAAGTTGCCCCATTGTTCTTTCTAATGGGGGATAGCTCAAGATGTGAACTCGGAGCATCCAGAGGAGTTCACTAGCTCCCTTCACTGCCTCTGTAATTACCTTCAGGGTTCATGGCATGCCATGTGTCAGCTGCTAAGCCAAGCCCCTTCTAGTCCAGTCTGCATCTCAGCTGTGAATGGAGCCTTTCAGAACAGCCAAAGGAAGAAAAAAAGAAAAGAAAAGAGAGAGAGAGACTGGAACTCACAGATAAATAGTATCATTGCCCCGAACTCATTGTTTCAAGCACAAGATTTTATTTGGAGGGGGAAAAAAGTGTAATTATGTTGGGGTGGATTGTTAAATTCTTTGACTTCAAACTCAACACTTTCTGCAAGATTTCACCTGTGAAATCTGCAGCCTTTAATTACTGCCTTGCGTGTTAGAAAAGAGATGCCTTCCTTCTGAGTGGCTAATAACTTTATCAGAGGACGTAATTACAGATCTGACAGCGGTGGTCAAAACCACAGAAGTGTGTGGACGGGAACATTCTGGTTTTTGAACCTTGGACATGGTGCAGGGGGAGACACTTCCTCCTCCAGCATTCATCTGTCTGTCTGTCTGTCTGAATTTGTTGGATTTTCTTATTCCCTCCCCCAGCCCCATAACACCATATCTTCCTAAGGGGTGGAGAGAAAAAACGTTTAGAAATCGGTCCATTCCTGGATGGATTTCTTCCCTTCCCAGAAAGTGGGGGGAGAAACCCACTCTTCTGTAATTGGACAGTTTGATTGGAGGCAGGTGGTGCTGAGCAGAGGCAAGCACAGCCACAAAGCCAGTTTTGGCTTCAAGCGCTCTTCCCCGGTTCTGAGTTCCAACAGTACAAGATGGAAATTGGCTCCCCCAAACGCCAACAATAAATTTAGTCCCTGTTTCTCTAACAAGCACCCTATCACTGAGGACAGTTTTCAGCAAACTGGACAGCAGGCAGGCGCAGAGCTGGCCTGGGATAGCCCCACCCCCACCCCGCCACCCCCCTTCCCGGTCTTGATTTCCCAAGGCATGTTCTCGCTGCCACGAAACCAGGGCTTATGCGTGATGCTGGAAGCAATCGCGCACTGTCGTTGGAAAACCCAGCGAGATTTCCTTTTTCCGGGTAAACTGGCCTCTGCATTGCTCATGTTGCATTATCTTGAGCTAATGTTTGCTTGCCATGTTTTTGAGAAGCAAGCCAAGTCAGCGTGGCATTGCAGATTACAAACGTCCGTCCCGAGAAGGGGCCAGAAAGAATGGCCGAGGGAGTAAGTAGAAGCTGTATCCTGTTCGTCTCCTGCCTTTTGGTGAAGTCCCTGAGACCTTTATTTCTTTTCTCAAGGGCTAACTCATTCATTTTTACCCAGATCCTACACGCTGGTCAACAACAGTATTCCTCTTTTTGTGCAAAGAAGGTGATGGAACGCCTGAGCCTCAAGAGGGTAATTGCTTTAACCAACATCACAGAGGAAAGCTGCAGAGAAGCCACAGACCCAGGGCACTGACTCCCCAGACCCTGACTCCAGCTGTGTGTCTGTCAGGTTCCTCTTTGTAGCAAAGGTGTACTTTGAAACTACCATTTATAAGGATTCTAGAAATAAAGGAGCGTGAGCCTGAAGCTCAGTTCATAGGATGTTTGCCCAACAGATGTGAAGTCTTGACCTTGAGTCCCAGCCCTGCAGAAACCAGGCATGTCGCCACAGGTAGCCCCAGCACTCGGGTGGAGGCAGGGGAATCACAGTCTAAGGTCATCCTCAGCCTCAGCTGCATAGTGAGTCGGAGGCCTGCTTGGGGAAGACAGCATTAACAGCTCTATGGAGTGGTTGACCTTCATCCACTGTGACAACTCAGTCCCTTCATTCATCTTCCCAACGACAGGTACAACCAACTTGTCAGACCCCCTTATAGGAAGAGATGGAAGCCGAGACAGGAATGGGTCAATGGCAGTGGAACGACACCTTGGTAGGATGGTAGGACTGCTTAGCTACATTGTCCCTTACCTTCTATTTGAGCTTTCTCCTCACTGGAGGGCCTTGAAGATGGACTTGGTGAAGCAGAAGCCACTGGTCTCTCTGTCCCTCTTCTCAATTTGGCCACACTGAATAAGTCTTCTTCTTCTACTTTCTAATAATAATAATAGTAATAATGATATAATATATAATATATTATAATAAATATTACTATCAATTCATCCCAGCTTTGACATGCTCTCTGATTCATTTCATCCATGCTCAGATTTTTCTAAGCACACTCTAGATTAGTTTTGAACTTCTCATTCATTTGCAGAACTTGAAAATAACCTTCTCTGATCTCAAATGGATGCAGGCAGAAACAATCATCTACCTCCCCTCAGTGTGTCTCCTAACAGTTGGATATCTGTATCAAATTATTCTGGGAAAACCAGTTAGAGAGTTTGTTCAGAGGCTCTAAATTGCAACACTCTTGTTTGCCCTTCCGAGCCTGTGGCTCACAATCTTGACCTCGCTCATGGGGGAGGAGGGGGTCTCAGAGCCTGAGGCTCTGGGGAAGACACTGTGTACCCTTGACTGGCCAGGCCACTTCTCCAAATCTCACTGGCAGGCAGTATTCCCTGAAGGCTGGCTAACTAGTGTGAGGCATCAAGGACAAGTTTCTCCTGGAAGAACTCTTCTACCCTAAATGAACAGCTTCAATGGGGCTGCCACCCCATTGGCTGACGGTGACAGGCAAGTACCAGGAGGGGTCTAGCAGGACCAGGGACACTTTCTCAGAAAGGACTACTCACTGACTAAACCTGTCTGAAGGCAGACTGCATTGGCACAAGGAGTGCTGGCTGGGAGATAACTCTGAAATCTTGGCAATACTACAGGACCAATATTTTTACAGAGGTGACACCATCTTAAACAATGTCCCCAGTGTGCAGGCTACAAGCGGCCCTCTATCCACAGCCAGGAAGGGTGACTGTCCTTCCCACCTCTTCTGAGCAAGGAGGCTCAGGGGAGGGGGCCAGGAAATAGAGGTAGAGAGTGAACGTGTTAGAGACACAGGGATGGGAAAGCCATTGCGGGGCTCTCCTATAATGAAGCCACCTCTGTCAACCTGCCCCAAAGCTGGCTTCCCAAGGTAGACACAGACCCAAGTGATGCCATCTCAGAGGCCAGATACTCTTCTCTATTTGTTTTTCCAAGCCTGTGTGGAAACAGCCGGGCACAAAGGCCACGGCACTCTTCAGTTCCTCCTCCTGCGTCCTGCTGTCCCAGCACCTCACAGACAGGTGGACATGGCCCGTGGGACGTGGCCTCCTCCCACTCTGGCCTGAGCTCTTTTTCTGGAGCATCGCCACCTGTCCCTCACTCTGTCAACAGCGTCCTCCTGTTTCCTAGAATTATTATTCCTTCCCAAAGCCCGTGGCATTTCCCAGCAGAAAAAAAAAGAAAAGAAAAGAAAAGAACCCCAGCACCTGCCAGGCCAATGCACAGGGTTGTCTAAGCAGGGCGGCCCAGCTGGGGCGAGATGGACGTGTCCCACACCCTCCTGATATGCAAGCCCCAGGTGGGCAGAGAGTTGGAAAGTGGCCCAGGCTGTGTCACAGGGTCCTCGGCTGAAGCTGAAGGCCACGAGACATGCCCAGGGGACAGTGCTATCGGGACACCCATCCACTGTATTTGTTTGCTGAGCCAGTGTAAGCACAGGCCATGAATGGGATGACCTGCACAACAGACATGAACTCTGATCGTTCTGGAGTCTGGAGTATCAAGGTGTGCCATGAGTTCTCTCTGGGGACATGCTGGGGACCCTCATTCACCTCATCATAAGGTTAACCTGACTTTCTTTTCTCCAGTGAGGTACCATGAGCCATATTTTGACAAATTGTCTGACACACCTTCTCTTTCCACAGGTAGTTAACATATATTCTAGAATATATGTTATTCTTCGGGCAGGCCCCAGGTCTTCCTTCACCAGCAGTGTGCCAAGTTGGTTAATACCCTGACGTTGACGATCTCACCGGTAAAATGGTGCACTATGTTGGCCAATTCTCCTGAGACTCAGCCAGCGCCTGTTATGCAGTTAGCACTTAGTATACTGTAGTTCTTGATAATCTCTGTGCATATACATTCTTACAAAGCATCAGGTGTAGGTCCAAAACCACAGGAGAAGTTAAAACCAACTGTGTCCCCATGACAGACAGCGGGGATCCCAACCAGGCACTCCCTCTCGTTATTCCCTGTGGCGGAGTCCTCGGGTGAGATCACACACTTACTTGGGAAAGCAATGTGTCTGTCACATGTGTCAGACAGGGTGGGGAAAGATGCATTTGAGCAGCAAGGCAGCTGCTTTCTAGCGATTAAAACATTCCAACTTCCTCAGCACAGCCACCAGAAGCTTGCATGTCCTTGAGGTCTATGAGTTGGAAGAGAGGTCGCCTTGAAGCCTCAGACTGGCTTCTGCCTCAAAGAGGGCAGCTTGGTGCTGCAGGACCTGCCCTGGGGCCAGGCAGCATCCTGCTTCCCTCGGGCCTCCTCTCCTCCTCTTCTCCTAGAACCTGCCTGCCTCCTCACAGTAGCCTCAGGAGCCAGATCTTGCCTCCTCCACATCCAGGTCTGTGCAAAGGTGCTCCAAAGGACAGCCACACTGCTGCCTTCACACCTCGGGTCCCCGGGAGGAAATCCATGTGTTTCCTATCGCCCATCAGCTACCGTCCACCCACCATTCAACTGCACTGCCATGGCACCAATGTTAGTGCACCCCCATGCATGGATGCCCTAGGAACTGAGAGACACAGAATATATATTCTTAGCAAGAAACAGAAGTTGGGGAAATTAACGGAACTGTCGAGGCAGGAAAGGCAAGGAGGGAAGGAAGCAGGCGAGGATGAAGCTCCCTGGGGGTATAGCAGCCCTAACCCTTCGGCCTCTGGATGCCTCACCACCCACACCCAGATCAGCCCTTAGGATTCTTTTTTTTTCCTCTGCAGAGATGGGTCGGGATGGTTCAGGCTGCGGTATGTCTATTAGAGACTTGGTCTTACTATATACCACAAGCTGGCCTCAGCCTCCCAAATGCCAGGAGAAAAAGCTTGAACACCTAGGTCCAGTACCTGAGTTCTCCACGGCTCTCTCATTTGGCAATGTGTGGGAGGCCATGAGCACTGAAGCAATGAAGCCTTGTGGTCAGGCTGGAGCACAGACTTAGGATGGAGTCATTGGAACTGCAGCTCTAGAGGGGCCAAGGCTCCAGTTTTACTGGGTTGAGGAGGTGGGCAGATCAGCCTGTGGGTGCTGCATACCTGTGTTCCTGGGGGTCACATGCCTATCCCAGGTACCAGATACCTGTGTTCCAGGTATGTACACCTGTGTCCCTGGGCGATGCATGCCTCTGTTCCCAAATCTCACACACCTGTCCCAGATACCGCACACCTGTGTCCTTAGTGTTGTACACCTGTATTCCTGAGTCCCACACACCTGTCCCACATCTTACACATATGTGTCCCTGGAGCCCGCAGTACTGTGGGCTTGGCGTTGGCCATCCCTTGATGCGTGAATACAGGCACATTCTCTGTGAAGCCACATTACCAACCCCACCAATTCGACTCTTACCAAAATTCTAGGCGCTATGGCCATCTTACCCATTTTCATCTGAGGAAAGAGAGGCCCGTGGAAATTAAGTCACTCGCCCAAGATCACCTATGAGGGAAGTGGCAAAGCCAGTTCCAGACCAAGCCTTGGTTGTAGGCATCGAATTCTGCCTGCCTGAGCCACTTACCCTCCTGGCAGAAGAAGTCACCGCCTGCCTGGGAGAAATATCTGCAGCCATGCTGCACCGAAGCATTTGAAGAGACTACATCCTACTCTTGGACGAATTAAGTACCTTCTGGGAAGCCACCCAAGGGAAACAGCCCAGAATAGGAGAAAAGCCACTCTGCGTGAAGATGTCCGTTGCTTTATGTTTATTGAGCACACGCTACATCCTCAAGTCCTGGGAGACCTATAAATCTCCGTACACAGGCAAACAGTCCAACTCGTAAGGATATTAAGCTACATGCTCACTTAAAGGCAAAGGGAGTGAGAACGTGGAGCAGAGTATGAGAATTCTTCAAGGGGACAGGCGCACACAATGCCTGGGTGTTCTGTTTTCTCCTACCGGTCCCCCGTGGGGGCAGCTGCACGGGGACTGGACGGGTCATCAGGAAGAAAATGAGGAGAACGAAGGTTTTGTCTGCTGAGCCCACAGTCGCTGGATAATTTCAACTGCTCAGGAGAACTGATGCGTAGGGGAAACAGAATAAAACAGAGCTCATTGGTAAGCACCAGGAGCCGGCTGCCGGAGGAGGTCGAGCTAACTCGCTGCTTTCCTCCTGGCCTCAAACCTTTTGCATTTTGAGCTTTTCAGTGGTGAGCATTGTAAGGTTGGTTTGGTTTGTGAATAAGACACATACTTCAGTTTCTGGAGACAGTGTCCCTCTCTGGCTTCCCATCAGTTCCATGCATCCATGGTTCTGAAGGACATTCCGTGTCAGACTGTGGGAACCTCTTAAAGTCGCTATCACACAGCAGGCCATAAAAAATACATGAATACCCCTGTAACAGAGACGCCGTGGTCACATAAGAGGACTGATCTTAGATCCAGAACAGACATGTTTGTTGACCCCAGCTCGGCTCCTTTGGCTGGGTGACCCCAGGGCACATCAGTCCCTAAGTCCCATACGCATTTCGCAGACAGTAGACACCCAATCACTGGCGGTGATTGTGCCGCTAGATGTTGAACCTATGTTACTTGGAGCAGCCGTGAAGTTTTTTTGTCACCTTCTCTACTTCTGTTCAGCAAGTGTCACCAAGTCCGACCCCCATCCTGTAAGAGCAACTCTGCGCATCTGATGGATGATAGGACACTGCGGAAGAGCCTATCAAGAGACAACTGCGTCTCTCTCAGAGAAGGAACCAGAAGAGGGCTTCACTGACAGGACCCTGAAGGGAAGCTGCCATGATGGGAGAGCGCTGGCTGATGCTCTCGGCTCAGGGATCAAGCTCCACTCCTGGCTGGGCTGAACTTCCTGGGGAAGACAGGCATGCTCTATCCTGCTTCCAGTTTGCTTTACCTCACAGGGTGGCCAAAGAGAAAGCCAGAAGTAAACAACGCAAGTGACG